CTTGGATTCAGTTGGGATAATATGAAATCACAGCTTTATTATTTATCAACTTTTGCATATCGGATTTTCATTTTTGTAATTATCCACTAGCTCTATCGATTACTCTATGATGATTTTTCATGTAACCTTATGGTCTGAGGATTGTAAGGAAGAATGTAGTCTTGTAATTAATCCTTCAGTTATACCCGGTCAATCCCACCAATAAGTATACGAACTCTTGTAGGCCATTGTACTTCTCCGGCATATCCACTTAGAGATCATACTGGCCAACGTGGAATTTATTTATTTTTCAAGACTTATCTGTAAGAACTGAAGGCATTTATACACTAAAATTTTCGTTATGTGACATTAAGGGATTACTATCTCCGTAAAACATTGATAACCTTAATTATTTAGAGTTTATGATATCTATCTTAATTTGATCTCTTATCTCTTAACTTGGTGTTATTATTTCTTTATTAATTATTATTGTGGAGGATTATGCTGAAATTGGATTATGCTGAAAAATTTGGGGTCTCTTTTTAAATCTATAATCAATACTAAAATCCATATATACTCTTTTATTAATAATACTACCCAACCCTAACCTAACTATAAAAAAAAAAGACCACAAAAATGCCCCAAAAATTTTTACAATTTTATAATAAAATACAACAAATTTTCAGCATAATCCACCACAATTATTAATAGGGTATACGATGAATTCTCGACGGTTCATGGAAATGCATTGGCTGAAGTATGTAGTGTTCCTTTTAGGGTATATTCTGCAAAGAAATTTCCGGGTATGACAGGTGTGAAAACTACAAAGGATGCTTATTGCATTTTTGCATTTCAGGTTTTGATCCAGTTGTAAAAAAAAAAATTTCCAATAAAAAATTTTTATGCAAATAATTTTTATACAAATTTTTATGCAACTGCTTAATTTTAATTATCTTGTATTAGAATCGATTGCGCTTTCTAAAGCTTTCGCTAGTCAGGAATTAAAATTACAATTCGTAAAGATTTTCGTTATCAGAAAACCAATAATGATGAATTACAAGATGATGAAACAAACGTTAAACCGATAATCATAACTGATAAGGATGACTCGAATGAACCTTCCGACACCGATTCGCTTCAGGAAATAGGTGATTATTTTGAATCCAGACCAAAATGTTATTACGTAATATATATAATTGGTCTGGGTTCAAAAATAACTACCCAGATGACAATTCATGATCATAAGAGTTTGGCGGATAATGTATACTTATTACTGTATTATCGTTATTATAATTATTCAATTACATTTATCTAGTAAAAAACCTTGCAATTTTTTTAATAAAAGTGTTGCACTAAATTTCGTAAAAAATGTGTTGCACTAAATTTCATTTATAAAAGCGTTTGTTATCGTGTCCAAACTGCTATTACAGCTTTATTTTCTTGATAATGTATATTTAAAAAAAAAATATAATTATACACTTTCATATAAGGCCGCGCAAAGTCGATTTTTCGTTTTGCATTACATGGTTTTCAAAATTTCGGTCGGCGGGCGGATTTTTT